CTCATTAATTTATGTAGACACACAAGTCCATTGTAGAGATATTCAGACAATGGAATAGGATAGGTGTAGGTTTTACATTCTAGTACTTCATCACATGAACTGCACTAGTCATATCACAAACAAGTCCGACACAACAAACAAAGGACAGGCTGACACCTACTTTGGATCCAAAGCGAATATAAATGGTGCAATGTGAACTACACGTGAAGCTAGTCCTTGGCCCAGGACAGTACAAAGAACTAAGAGACACCATGCAAACATGTAATAATGAGCAGGTAAAATACAATGATGTTATTATGCCACAAGTTTATGCTCACAAATATTATTTAACATAAAGTGTACGAAAAGTCTAATTGTAAATGCACATCGTAATATATAAATGCAGTTGTTGGGAAAAATCACATATACAATTATGTACATATATATACGTAAAAACAAAAGACCCACTCACAGGTACTTGCGATGTCACATCCTTTCGAGCTAAGAAAGTCAGAGTCTTCGATAGTAACTGCACATAAGCATAATATTGGGACCTATTAGTAAAACTCAACACAAATGATTAAATTTGAAAAAACGGACGGCGTATTCGAAATCAGTGCATCGAAATACACTAAGAGGAATCTCGGGCAAATTTTGTAAAAAGTCAATGGTCAACCCTAAAAAGTCAATCGAGACGCCTCGGTAGTCAACTATTTTAAAGCTTCAGAATTTTCCTAAATGGATATCAAAAATGGACTCGGGACGTCGAAATTAGTCTAGGAGGGTTTCCGAGAAAATTCCAAAAAAATCAACTATGGTCAACAGTTAACCTTAACGGAATATTTCATTCTCAGATGGAATATTCTGTTAAAATTAACTGGCAGTTTTTTTTTTCCCTTTCTTCTTCTTTGTTTTTGCGGATTTTCGTCGGAAAATCTTGGAGGAATTAAAACGCTCCGTTCGGAGCCATTTCACAACCAAAGTTTGCCCTTAATATATCAAAACGAAGCTAGGAAAGTGTAGAACAAGATTATATCTATTTGGAGTTGAAAAAGTGGCCGGAGATGGCCTGAAAGGGACTGGTCCGTCAAAAACTGGGTAACTAGACAAACTTTAAACGTCCATAACTTTGTTAATACTTAACGAAATTGAGTGATTCAAAAGCGAAAATCGTACCTCGGGATGAGATGAACAGATTAGTACCCTACTTGATGGCTAAGTTTCTGTGTTTTTGTCGAAAAATGGCTCGAAAGACTCGGAGGTCGCAGGAAACTGGAAAATTTTGCCGGTTTTTGGTAAAAATTTCAAAACTTCATATCTTACTCATTTCTCAACCATTTTCGACGTACTTTATATGGAAATGAAGCTTAGGAATATAAGAACAAGTTTGTATCTTTTAAAATCCAAAAATTGGACGGAAATGGACTGAAATTTCCTCGAAGCTCTCGGACCTATTTTTGTCGTTTCGAAACCGTGTGTTTTCACTTTAGCTTGGCTTCAAACTTGGACTAGGGACCTTGGGGAGTTGTGTAGTAGCTTCTAGACCTTCCAAAACCTTTAACTCGTTCGGAAAATCGTCGAGAAAATTTTGAACCGAGTCGGAGCTTCCGAGTTCGACGTTCGAAACTCAGTTGTTTTCGATTCTGTTTATATGGTTGGGTTCGTGAGGATGAGAGGAGTACAATGGTGGTTGAAGTTTGAATTATAACGTTTTGTGATTGTGTTTGTTTGCAGAAGAGAATGGAGGTACGGATAGAGAGAGAGTGTGTGTGTGAAAGAGGGAGAGAGAGAGCAAGGGTGATTGTCTGAAATGAACGAGTGATTGTCTGATGGAAATCAAACGAATGATTGAGACGAATGGTGGTTTAGAGATTAGGTAAGGAGAGACGGGTGAGAACACGGGAGAAGTAGGTGAGAGACGTAGGAAAAAATTTGAAACCAAACTTTCCAGCTTAATTAATGCACCCGTGTATAATTTTACCTGTTATTAACGTACTTTAATTTAACGTCACTTTTTCGTTACAAATCCGTTTCGAGTCTAGTTCACACTCACGCGTCCGTAATAACGAGTACTATTTAATTACAACAATACAAAAAAAAAAAAAAAGTAAAAGCCGAATCACATCGTCCACTTCAGGTTCCATTTTAACATAAGGATATAATCGACATTTTACATAAGAAATTAGGGACATGTTATCACAAATTCTCACTTTTTTGGAATGTAATTTAATTTTAAGGCAAAAATTCAACCACACTAAAAGTGTGGAGTTGTTTCAATCTTTTTTGGCATCGTACAAAAGCAGGGTGGAATTTTGAAATCAAATATATCTTTCACATTTCACCCAAAAAATTATGTCTTTAATAAAGAACATAATTTTTTCGCCTTAGGAGCAAAGAAGAATTCTCACTCTTTAAGAATGTAATATAATTTTAGAGCAAAAACTCAACCACACTAAAAGGGTGGAATTTGTTTCAATCTTTTCTGGCATCATACAAAAGAAGGTGGACTTTTGCAATCAAATATATCTTTCACATCTCGAGCAAAAAATTGTGTCTTTAACAAAGAACACAATTTTTTTGTTGCAAGAGCAAAAAAAAACAATTCTAACTCTTTAAGAATATATTTCAATTTTAAAGCAAAAATTCACTCACACTTGAAAGGGTGAAATTTGTTTCAATCTTTTCTGGCATCGTACGTAAGTGTGAAGTTTGTTTCGATCTTTTCTGGTATCGTAAAGAAAAAGGGTGGAGTTGTGAAATCAAATATTATTTTCAAATTTTCAAATTTCCCGCAAAAAGTTATGTCTTTAACAGAGAACATATTTCTTCGTTGTAGAATCACAGAACAGTTCTCATTCTTTTAGTCCAATGGAAAGCATTTACCAGAGTCTATCACCCACAGGGCACCCAGAGAACAACCAACCCTCAACCATCTGTGGAGGCCTTTCGTCACAAGTATTTGACACGTGTCTCCCCCGTTCTGGGATGCATTTCCTACAACTCTCAATAGCATTGACTATTTCAGTCAAGCATCAGTCAATTCAAACCAAAGAACAACTTTTATCTTTAGACCTCGTTCGGTGTAGATGATTATCTAGTATAATTCATTTTTTTTTATTACAAACGAGGCCTTTATAATTCAGAACATTGAACAAGAGGGAAGGCTTTTGCACATGAGATGTCATGATCGTCGTATCCCAGACCAATGACGAAATGTAACATAAACAAGTTAAAGTACATAAAATGCGTGATTAACTTAAACTGCATGAACATGGAGCAACACCAACCTTATTAAAGAGGGAAAAACGAGTACACTTAGTTGAAAAGCATTTTTATTTTATGGGATGCAATATTCTAAAGGGTGTTTTAGATTTTGGTCCTTACAACTCAATGTTTTTAGATAAAAACTCATCTATCTTTAAAGATCCAGTTTAAGCCCAAATTTAAAATTTGCAAACATATGGGAACACTATTGACCTATTAATACAATTTATTTAGACTCATGCCACTCATACTTTATGGTCAATTTTCTAAATTCCTAAATTTATGCCAAATTAAAAGTAGTAGAAAAAGTAAAATAAAATGTAAAAAGTGTTTGCATTAACCGTATCCATGTCAAACTAGAAAAGTATTTTTTTTTTCGTGATATATTTTGTAGCAATTTTACCTATATTAATTGGTAGGTAAATTAGTTTGTTCCAATTATTTTTAAAAAAAAAATACTATACCTATATTATATATTTTGAATCAAATAACATTCCTCTAACTTGTAGGTAAATTATTTTCTATGTATTGTTATATATGTTAGAAATGTTTTGTTGTTGTATAAACATGAGTGGAACATACTATTGTTGATTTTATACATCAAACTGCATTTCTTTTGTTATAGGTAAATTATTTTCCATGTACAAGTACTTATGTTAGGCACGTTTTGTTGTTGGTACATACAATATTTTGTATCATTGTAAAGAAAGATATTACATTACACCCATGGTATAATTGTTGTAGGTAAATTATTGGAAATTAATTTGTAGTTAGGTAATGAACATTTTGCATCATTAGAAATGAGCATTTCAAATAGTAGGTAGGTAAATTAATTTGTTCTAATTATATATAAAAAAAAATTACACTACACCTAGTTATATTTAATTTTTCCAATTATTAAAAAAATTTATACTACACCCAACCAAATAACATTTATCTAACTTGTAGGTAAATTATTTTCCATGTATTGTTAGATATGTTAGGCACGTTTTATTGTTGTATAAACATGGGTGTAACATAGTATTTTTAATACTATGCATCGAACTACATTTCTTCTTAATATAGGTAAATTATTTTTCATGTATTAGTACATATGTTAGGCACGTTTTGTTGTTGGTATAAACATTATTTTGCATCATTGTAAAAAAGAGATATTATATTACACCCATGGTATAATTGTTGTAGGTAAATTAATGTGCATGTAGATAATGAAATACAATGTTCTAATATATTAATAAAAAAAGGATAAATTCAAAAGTATTCAAGAGTAGGGTTAAAAAAACTGAATCGAATAGTTTTATGAAAATTCAAAGTCTTTCTAAAAAATTAATATGGAATAAATTTTTAACATTAATGTCTTTTTTTTTCTCGTTGCAAAATCATTTACTCTCTCCTTACAATTAATTGTCTACATCAAATATGTAATAGGGGTATTTTAGGCATGTGAAAAATGTAAAATGTGTGAAGTAATATGAAATTAATGAATTTGCTTATGTGGATCTTAATCATTGGGTTTTCTTTGAGTAAAAAAGTTATATAGGGTTTTATATGAAGAAAATTGAGTTGGAAGGACTAAAATCATATTTTTAGTATTCTCTAAACTACTCTTTACTGGTAAGCGATTTGTACTCTAAAATGATGTCCTAATCAACCAGCCTAATCCAAATATGCAGTAGAGAAGCAAATGAAAGAACGTAACGATCTCTGTCTCAAGTTAGACTGGCTGAAAACCAGTACTCAAGCCATAAAGCCAAGTTACAATGAATGAACAATTTACAAAAGTAGCAAAAACAAACCAAAATCACACTTCATACACCATCATTCAAAACATCATAACCTTAAACTCATCAAAATTGAGCACCCCATCACCGTTGAGATCAAACCTCGCAATCATGTTCTTGCACTCGTCGACGCTCTTGGACTCGCCGAGTCGACTCAGCATCCTCTTAAGACTCTTGGGCGTAATGCACCCACTCCCGTCCATCACATACATCTTAAAAGCCTCCCTCAAAACACACACCTTCTCTTCGTCGCATCCTCCGTCGACAAACTTGACAAAATCATCCAACCCCAGCAGCCCGTCGCCGTCTGAGTCTAGGTACTCCACCGCCACCTCCGCCTCTGTCAGCGAGAGCTCGCCGCCTATCGCTCCGACACATTGTTGCAGCTCCATAGGTGATATCTTATTGTCTCCGTTGCCATCAAATTGCTTGAAAACGCGCTCGTATTGTGCTACTTTTTCCATTATTTAGAAGCCTTTTTCTTTTTCTTTCTGGAAGTTGTGTTGTTGTCTATGGTAAGCGTAGGGTTCTGGGTTTAATGTGGTACATATATGATACAATGCCGCGTGTCGTGGTTGACCAACCAACTTGCTGGACGGGATGATAGATGGTGAGACTATCACAGGAGATGGTATATCACGTGTTTCTATATAAATGGTGAGTTATATGTGTTAAAGGGTTAATAACTTAGTAATTAAAATTTTCCATCACTTGCATAAAAACACGTGGTGTACCATCCATATTCCTGTTACAACTAAAAATTTCTCCTAGGTGTTGGGTACTTTCGTAAACACGTGTGCAAGACTATGTTTTGTACAACTATTCTATTTAAGAAAATTATTTTAGCCAAGTCATTTGATAAAACGACTTTAACATTTAGGTATCGATTTTAACATTGATGTGAATTGAATTTAATATTTTCGATTTACAAGTAGGGTAAATTATTATTGAACTATAGTGCTCAATCTTAGTAGTGTTAAATGACAATTTTAAAGTCTTATTCCACTTAATGTGATCGATTATATGAATCCTACAACACTACTATACTTGGTTTCAGGTCATCTTCTAGTTCTTTTGTCATGTGTCTCCGGCTCATAATTGCATTTGCTAGCCGCGTCCATCTGTAGGTCTTTGGTTTATTGTATAAACCACTTTAATTGATATTCTCTTATCTTATCTTTAATTGCGGCCACTCTTATTTTATCTCGAATACCTTCAATCATAATCATATCTTGTCTTATCTAATAAATATTTGTCATGAAATAAATTGATAACAACAAAACATTTCCACTCTTTCAACTAAAATTAATCCTATTATTCCAACAATTTTCTGTTTATAAAAGAATCTCATAAAACGGGTCAAATAAAAACAAGACTCTGAAAACAGAGGAGACAGGAGAGTCGTTGGCTTTTTCTATACAAATTTGATTTTAGTGACCGACTTACTTTAATCTAAAGACTTCTCGAAGCAACAGATTTTTTTGGATGGGCCAACCGTCTGGTTCCAACAGCCAAAACCGCCACAACCACCAGAAAAATTAAACGAAAGTGGCGAGCAGCTTCTTTCTTGAATTTATATCCAAACTCTTTGGTTTGGTGGCGATTCTATTCAGATTTCTAAAACGGTTTTCTTTTTCCACTAGTGCCCTAATTAAGTATTTGATACAAGTAGCTACATGATTTTTTTTCCTTCTTTAACGGCTTAACCAGAAAAACTTAGATAAACAAACTTGTTGTTATGTTATTAATTATCCATATATTATTCATATTATTGATACCATCAATACTCCAATGAGGTATGCTATTAACCTTCTAATTTGATTATTCTCGACTTTTCTTCTTAACTGCAATGTAACACAATTTCTAATTTGGTTGATTTTAAAAGAATGAATCGAAAAATAGATGTTTCGATTATCGAGCAACATTATAAAAAAAAGAGATAAAAAGTGCCAAAATGGGAAGGTCCGAAGGTCATATATATGGACTTGGATTGTCTGCCATCCCATTTCAGTGCCCTCCTCGTGCCCTCTTGTTTGTGTGGTCACGGTTAAGCCACGTCAACATTTTATATTATTATTTCTTTTTGTTTTATTATTTTTATAAAAAAATAATATAAAATATTGACGTGGCTTAACCGTGACCACACAAAACAGGAGGGCACAGGGAGGGCACCAAAATGGGAGGGCAGACAATCCAAGTCCCATATATATAGCCTCCCCTACTTTGATTACATAGTTCTCGATTTGTCTATAAAAATCTAGGTAGAAGGTAAATGAAAATGTGCCAACATCTTTTTTTTTTTCCGATAAAACTACAAAGTCAATCTCACTTCAACATTGCTATTAGAGCAATTCCACCCCTAAGGACTTTGCGCCAGCACCCAGCGCATTTATCCACTCAAGTGAACAGTAATAGACTGGAGTGAACAGTAATAGGCCAAGGCATCTCCACCCCTAAAAAAATGCGCTGGCACCCAGCGCATTTATTTGGTGTGTTTTTTTTTTTTTAAGTTTATTTTGGATAAGATTTTTAACCAATTTCAGATAAAATTTCAAATAAACTTAAAAAAAAATACACACTAAAATAAAATTACATACTCATCAAATAAACTATAAAAAAAACACACTAAAATGAAATTACATAAACTCATCAAATACACTTTATTCTTCAACCACAAGCTTTTTGGTATTTTTTTTTCACACAAAAAGTATATGAAAGCTTTGGTAGAAAGTGTAGAAAATATTGAAATGTGGTGTAAGGTGGAAGATGAGAGTTAGGTATTTATAGAAAAAATAAATAAATTTTTTAAAATTTTCTGTATTTTTTAATATTTTTTTGTATTTTTTAATAAATTTTAATTTAGTTAATTAACGTAGACCGTTGATCTGTGATCGGACGGTCTATTTTAAAAGTAAAATTTAAATTTTTGGTACCGTTGGAAATCCAACGGTCTAGAAAAACTAGCCGTTGGAAATCCAACGGCTATGAGCATGCCACGTCGCTGATGGGATCCGGAACACAAGTGGGCTGACAGCCCCTCTGCAGCCTGTCGGCTACTCGCGCCCAGGCGCGCTTGTCGTGCACGCGCCAGCCAAATAGGCCAGCTTCTTGGTCTGTCAAAATTGGGCTGGGTTGTTGCCTGGCATGGGCTGGGTGCCAGGCAACTTTGTGGGCGGGAGCAATTTCACTGAGGGCCAAGCTGTTTTTTGTGCTGGGGGCTGGGCAAAGCAAGTCCCAGTGGACTTGCTCTTATGGAAAGTGATAGTGAGGTAGTTTTATTAAAAAGAGAAGGAAAATACAATCTGTCAAGGGAGACATAAAACCTAAAATTGACCATGATAACAACCATAATAAACAAAATCTTCAACAACTAATACAAGATATAACAACGTGACAACATCTTATTTGGTGGTCAGACAAGACACGTGATCAAGCCGTCAAACTTAAGTTCTATCTACATGGTTGCCAAAAAAACTTCAAATGACGAAACTTGTAGCTCAAGTTTCTAACACTGTTTGGGCCCAAAATAATAGTTTGGGCCGAGTGTAGAACCATTCTCGGCCCGGAAGGCCTTGCGACAAGAAGACCATGGATCGTTCAGCTTATGGGCTTCCAAACCTAGGCCGGTTAGGTCAAAATGCAATGACAAGCCGAGTCCTGATACAATAGGGATTCTCGGCAGGATTAACAACCTAGAAGCGGATAGGGCTCGAATAAGGACTAGGTTCACAATCCTAATAAAAACAGGACTGGTCGAGGTGATATTGATCCGGAGAGGGAAAACCTAGTCCGAATAGGATTCTATCTCAGATTCGGGGTCCAGTGCTATAAATAGCGGAAGCTGTGCATCAGGAAAAGCCCCACAAAATCAACACAAAATTGCCCTGCGCAAACTCTCACAACTTGAGATCTTTTTCTTTTCCTTTTTCGCTGACACATCTTCCGTTGGCATCAACAGCACTGTGGAAGCAACCGGTGATATCTTAAGTCGGCATAGATAGCTCTGTCACCGTAGAATTGGTCGGTCTCGCAGTATCTTCCGTTGGCATCAACAGCACTGCGGCGAGAACGGTCAATTACCTATCCAAGTCTTGGTCGAGAAGGGTTTTCGAATCCTTATTGGTCGAGGTCATCTCATTAGCCTTCTCGGCGAAGTGAGGTGTTACAGTTATTACATTCGGCACATTGAAAGCCGAATTCGGTTCGTGAACTTTGTAAGAGTAGCAGCCTTGTCTTCAGGCTCGAGAACCCAAGAGGCCGAGACGTGTTCCTTTCTCGGCCGCAATCGCAAGACGCAGAAGTCAGTAGCGCGACCCAACGCAACATCATCAAATTTACTCCTCGGCCGAGCCTCGGCCGACGAGTTGGCACGCCCCGCAATCACCGAAGGACGTAGTTAGCTTAGAATATACTCGGCCTGCGCGCCACGTAGGCTTTGTAATTTCTAGGGTCAACATTTTGGCACGCCCAGTGGGACCCAGTGCTAAAACTACGAAGTTCATGCCAATTGAAACGCGATCGGTAAAAAAGAAAACAGCTATGGGAAAATCAACAGCCGATTTACCGATTCAGAACGTAGGACAAAGTGTGCCACAGGCGCAGAATCCCCTTAGCGCCGGGACACCTGAGTCCACAAGTGCGACTCGCCGAGAAAGGGAAGTTAATCTCGGCGGTCAACACCGCAGTCTAGAAATCCCTAACAGGAACACTTGTGTTCTCAATGAAGGGATAGTGGAGGATTGCGACGAGGATGGCGGTAAAGGATCTGACCCACCAACAAGGTCGTTTCTTCGAAAGCGACTCGACGAGCAGTCTCGGTCAGTTGAGCAGACGTTTAGCCGAGGTATTGACAAGCTACATGACGTGATACTCAATTCCACTGAGCAGCAAACCAGACTGCTCGAAATGCTGGTTAGTAAATTCAGTGACGGCAGGCCTTTCGATCCTTTCCAACGCTTGCCACCAAGAAATAATCCGTTACCAATGGTACAGGCCGAGCCAATTCCTGCTCGGCCCAAACCAATTGACTTGGAAAAGGTCGGAGGGTCAAATAGTAGGTCGGACGGAATCGACTAGAGGGTCGAAGCAACACCTGTTGATATGACCGAGGTTCAGCGGATGATCGACTCGGCCATGAAGAAAGGGCCGAAGTTTCCTAAGTTTATCCATCCGTACCCGGCCTACATAGAAACGTTCGGATATCCGAAAGGTTTCAAGATTCCGGATTTTAGCCTTTTTGCCGGTGAATCGTCCTTGTCTTCGTTGGAGCACGTGGCTCGTTTCACCGCGCAATGCGGCGATGTTCATAGTGATTTCCATAAATTACGGCTGTTCAACTTCTCGTTGACCGGCTCGGCATTTGCTTGGTATATCAATCTCCCTCCTAATTCCATCCAAAACTGGGAGGAGTTGGTCGAGAAATTCCACGAGCAGTTTTATCGACCAGGGTTGGAGGTGTCGGTTTCTTCATTAGCAAGGATGGCTCAGGCATCAGATGAGTCCCCGATGG